CTTTACAGGATTGCCTTTACAATTGATTTTTGTATTAATTTAACATAGCTGAAATAGATGATTAGTCATGCCAATTTGTTTACCTTGACCATGCTCAAAACAATCGTAGATGACAGATGCATTGTTTTTGAGTTAATAGTCAATTAATAGGGTAGGTAAACAGAAAGGAAAATTCTCACTGCTTATTACTTGTTATATATTTTTTTCAAATCCACAATTAAGCAAATTACTCTATGTAATTACTTAAACAAATCCCTATTAAAAAATCTATACAAATTTTTTTTTTTAAATACAATAAAGCAAATATTTTAGACTTGAGCTATGGATATTCACAATGACAACAGATTTTTCATAAAAAGACAAGATATTTTTGGAATTTGGCTGTTGCTCCCTGTAGATTGATGTAAAAAAAAACATTCAGCATAGGCTATAATTGGAACCCCCTGAACAAAATATTTCTAGTTTGGTTGTTGTTGTTTTTACAGCCTATACTGTAATATGATACCTGTAAGGCAGGGGTCACCAACTCCAGTACTTGAGGGCTACCATCCTGTAACTTTTAGACGCATCTCTGTTCAAACACACCTGGATCAAATAAACTGCTTGTTTCCAGCCTATTGCAGAGAGGAATGAATGCTGGTGAGGGAATTCAGACATTTTGGAGCAGAGGTTAATCTAAAAGTTGCAGGATGGTAGCCCTTGAGGACTGGAGTTGGTGACCCCTGCTGTAAGGTAATATGATTACCTATAAGGTAAGGAATCTTATTACCTGGAAGGTAATATGATACCTTACAGCACAAAACATTTGTTATAGAATCTGGATGCTTTTTCAGTTTTTACAGCGTATGCTGTAAAAACATCCAGCATATAGGCTGTAATGGGAACCTGCCTGAACATGTTGACTTCCTGTCGCTCTCTGGTGTTTCGGTTTTGGTTTTCATTTTTGCTTGTGTCTTGATTACTTTTTTAATAGTCTGGGTTCATTACTACTAGAGAGAGCTTTCGATAAGTCTTTGTTAATTTCTTTATTCTTATTATTTTTTGTGCTTTGTTCTCTCTGTATTTTGCCCCATGTCACTCCAACTCCTACCCCTAGCTCAGACTCCCTGAATCTGAACTTTTATCTAACACCATTCTTCACTTCTCCTTCAGAAATTAGCTCTCTGGGTTTCATTGTTTGTAGCTGGTTCTTCCAGCTATCAACTTCTCTGCCTGGGCTTCGTGTCTGAATCTCCCCATTCAGGTTCCATAAGTTTTTTTTTTTTGTTCACAATAATATTTTCACTATGCTCATTTGAAGTTTGTATCTGCTTTTTATTTTCAGCCCTATCCTCAATCTCCAAATCTTATTTTTATTGAATAAATCACAGACAGTTTTGGAGGAACTCTCTTTTTTATGTACCAACAAAAGCATAAAGCATTTAGCAAAACTTTTACATAAAAAAACATTGGATTCCAGTCTTGTATTGTTAATTATTTTATAGCCATTGCTCCCTCTTGGCTAGGACTCCCTTGAAAAAGAGGTTTATAAGCTCAGTGGGAGTTTCTTGGTTAAACATTGTTAAATAAAATAGAATTGATAGGTTTTAAAAGCAAGTTTCATAACTTCATGTAAACGGAACTGTCAGTCTGTCAACCAGGCTGCTGCAGATGAAACAGAATGTAGCTGTTCTAAAACTAGAAATATAGAGCACATCTCCCACCCCAGTTCTAAAATTTTTACACTGGCTCCCTGTAGTGCAGACTTTAAAATATTTTTGTTAGTCAATAAGTCACTGATGAGACTTATTAAACATACATTAAAGATCTGTTGTCGTATCACCCTTACAGACCTGGTTCAAGTTGACTGCGTCCTCAGAATCAAAATTTGGAGAAGCAGCATTTAGTTTCTATGCTCTGATCTGGAACAAGCTTCCAGAAAAATTGATGATGCAGATACAGGCTTCCTTTAAATCAAGGCCAAATGACCATTATTTTAGAGCTACTTTTGATTAATAAAAACTGGAAAAAAGATCAACTCTGCTCTGAATTACAACTTTTTTTATTAATTGCTCATGACTTTCTTTACATTTCTATATTTTCTAATGTCTTTTTTATGCACCTAAATTCTCTTGATTACCGTACTTCTTGCGCACCAATATTGAGCCCACAAGCAGCAAAATGACTAAGAAACAGATCAGATGTTATTGTGTTCTTCTCACGCAAAGCACTTTGAAATGCGTTGTTTTTGAAATGGTCCATTGCAAACAGACTTGACTTGAGATAAAGCTGTTGGGGCATGTCTCTGCTGAGACTGTTCATGTTTGTTGGTTGAGATATGCTATTCAGCTTCACACAGCTCACTGGGAAAGACCAGTGAGCCAGATCAAGATGCTGAAAACTCCTCAGGAAAAAACAGGCCACAAAAGGGAATTACAAAAGGCTCACGAGAACTCAGAGAAACTCAGAGATAACTCAGAGGGGCTAAGACAGGGGTGGGCAACTCCAGGCCTCGAGGGTCGGTCTCCAGGAACTTCTAGATGTGTCTCCACTTCAACACACCTGAGTCAAATAATGAGGTCGTTAGCAGGACTCTGGAGAACTTGACTGCACTGAGGAGGTGATTCCGCTGTTGGATTCAAATGTGTTGGACCAGGGAGATCTAAGAGTTGCAGGACACCAGCCCTCCAGGACCAGGATTGCCCACCCCTGGGTTAAGAGGTACCATCACTGGTTAACACTCTGGCGTCGAAGTACTGGCCGTCTGCCTCTCTTAAGCCGTAGGTAATGAGATGATTGTTTCCCGGATTGAAGATGACGTCATGGCAAAGGAGCACTCTGGCCTGCCGCCTCCAGGACTCCATCTAGTGATTAGTAAAAGACCAAACAGCAGTCCCAAGAAACCCAAAAAAAAACAACCAGAACTTAACACTTCGGGCAGGTCACAGCTAGCAAATACAGTACTCATGCAAGTTCTTGTTTATTTATTACGAGTTAATAAGCTGTGAGGCAGCTTATTATTTTTGTTTCAAATAAAAATAGAAAATCCATTTTCATTAAAAAATGAAAGACTGAACCATACACAGATTGTGTGTGGTCCATATAAAACATTGAAAAAGTTCTTTTCATTTTGATCTGCAGTTATGTGCATTTTTAAATCCTAATAGTTCACTCCTAGAGCCCCTCTAATTACTGCTAGAAACCAGCGATCAGGCCTAAAATCTGGGAGTAGTGATGGACTCAGACCTGAACATTCAGAGCCACATAAAGACAGTTACAACGTCGGCCTTCTATCACCTGAAAAACATTTCCAAGATTTGAGGACTAATGTCTCAGTGGGATCCAGAAAAACTCATCCATGGTGTTTCTCTTTAGTCGCATTGATTACTGCAACAGTGTCTTCACAGGTCGGCCTTAAAAAAATCAGACTGCTGGAACTGATCCAAAGTGCTGCGACTCGCATTATGACTAAAACAAGGAACATAGAGTATATCACCCCTCTACTAAAGTCTCTACACTGGCTCTCTGTAACTCAGAATAGACGTTAAAATACTGTTATTAGTTTATAAATCATTGAATGGCTTAGCACCACAATTCATTAAAGATCTGCTGGTGTTTCAATAAACTTCCAGACCACTTGGTCTGCTCTGCATCCCCAGAACCAAACAGGGAGAAGCACATTCAACTTCACACCACAAATCTGGAACAAACTTCCAGAAAACTGCTAAACAGCTAAGACACTGAGTTCCTTTAAACCTAGACTAAAATCCCTCCTGCTTAGAGTTGGTTTTGAAACATCATAAGTGAAACATTGGCCACCATATTTCATGTGTATAATTTTGGAGATGACACTCATCAAAACCTAATGCTTGTTAAATTGCTGACTGTATGGTGTTTTCCTAATAATCTTGTGTTTTCCATTATATTTTGAACTGCCTTGCTGATGAAATGTGCTGATGAAAAACTTGAACTCAAGCGTATTGGGAAAAAAAGCAAAGACGTTCCTGGAGTGGCAGGAAAAGGCTGGTTAGGGATTCACATCCTGTTTTATTTGACTTTGGCAACTCTTACACACACAGGCATAGCAAACAGATATTGATGTTTTCCAATTCTGAAAATGTTAAAAGTGCTTTAGAAATGTTCAACATATTGAAGATAAAATTATTTTAACCTTAAGATCATTATTGTTTGGACACAATTATAATACAGATTATATTTTGACCTGGAGAGAGACACAAAGACAAAGCAGCAATAAGGTTAGCTCTATTGACAAAATTACATTTTTGGTGCTTAGACCCTGAATTAATAACTTCAATGTGCATCTTAGAATGAGGATTAGAGATAATTGTATGTCTTACAGGCTTACATGGATCACAAATCCAGTATTGCATACGCACAGGTATTTTAAGACTTATTTCCTCGCCATAATTTTTTTCACATATCTGTCTGAGCCGCGAGAGCCCTCTTGTGGTGCTGAAGTGTAAGTGTCCACATTTTTGTCTACTTCACATTCCCTCTTTTCAGGAATTGATACTTGTTCATAATATTCTTCTGTGGGCTCATTAGTCTCATATTTCTTTGCACGTGTCATATTCTGATAACGAACTCCAGTAGGTAATTCAACTATGACTTAGTTTCCTGTTTCCCACAACCTGGTGTGGAGAGAAGCTTTAAGTAATGTTGTAAACTTATCCACTTTGTCTTGTAACAGCACTGTCTCTCCCAATCACTTTGGAGTACTGAGCACCTCTTCTTTCATCAGCATTAATTTTTTTGCTTTTTCCTTTTGTTCAGCATCTCTGTCACTCACATCTAAGGCAGATGTATTTTTCCTCACCTAATACCGATAACTTTCCCCTCTTTTTTCTGTTTGAAAAAAAGTCCTGTCTGAATGCAGCCTGTGGTTGGATGTTCTGTACCACGATACGCAGTAACATATTTCCTCAGCTCACATTTCCAGTGTGAACCCACAGCTTATGTGGTCCTGATATTCTCATCAGTGATGCAAATGCAAAATTGCCATTTGACTTCTGCATTAGCTTGAGCCCATGCTGCTCTAATGAGTACATTAGAGCAGCTCCCAATCTTGAGACGCTTGAGGAGGGTCTCAAGATAATTTACACAAATTTAATTTAAAATAATTTAAGATATACCATAAGGAATAAATATTAGCCTTTAGAGTTTTATTTTATTTTATTTTTTTTTAATAAATTTTGAAGTTGATTTCACAGCTAGCACTTGTACAATGCAGGTGAAAGGTTAAGTGCAGAAAGCTTATGAAGGAGGCTGAGTGATTAACATATAGCATTATGTTAAAAACAAGGTCCTGAATAGAGATTTACTTTTACTTAGACTACCAATGATATATACAACCTTTTACAAATTAAAAAAGTTAATAGGTGATTAAAAATGGTTTAAGAAAGCCCTGAAGTCTCTTACTATCTGTCTGAGTGCCAATTACTACCTAGAACATAGGTTAGAAGTTCTCTTTGAAAAACGAAGAACTAAACACTGAGAGGCTAAATACTTATTTACTCAGCATGTGGAGAATATCGGCCACATCTAAACCCTGTCAAATGTGCGTCGCAGCTAATGGCGTAGGTAAAATAGAGAACTCCTTTGCGCAGCTGACAGCTTAAAGAGTGAGTTCCTTTCTCAGGAAAGACGATGCATATTCCTGCCATGTCATTGTAAAGAACGTCCCTATCCCAGACTTCGAACCTCAACTCCTGACCCAGCTCCACTGAACCAAAGTCATATGTGGCGTTCCAGACTGGGTCGTTGTTGTCCATCACAGTCTCGGTCTCCTCATACATGCCGCTGTAGAAGATCTTCACGTATGCATCCGTTTTTGTGAAGGTGTCGGCCCTCAATCCTGCGGCTCTGTGGATTTCCAGACTCAGAGTTCCTCTGCCGGCCCGTAAAGGACAGCAGTTGTGATCCAGGTTGGGAGTCGGGGAGCAGTTCTTCGGGCCAAGCTGCTCCTCTTCCAGCTGGTTCTCATTTATGTACTGTGTGATCATGCTTCTCAGATTTTCACTGATCTGATTGTCCTCCACCAAATGATGCAGAGGAAAGATGGCATAGGAAACCACGTCTGGGTTGTTGTGGAGGCTGTTCATCCAGCTGTGGTATGCCTCCGAGGGGTCCTGCTGGTAGAGAATGTCAGGGAAATACTGCTCTCCTCCTATCACCTCAATCTTGTGCGTCATGAAGCCCTGGTAGAAGCCCATGCTCATGTTACCCTTCAGAAGATTGTCACACTTGTTGGAGAAAGTTGCATTAGCGGGAAGAAAACCAAGAGCCATCCGGAGTTCAAGATTCAGGCAGTTCTTGATCTCTGACTCCGAGAAGCCCTTCAGTGTGGCCAGACAAGTCCTGAAAGCAGTGATCCGCCTCACCTTACCCCCAAGCTGCACCTAGAAACAAAAAGTAAATGAAACATAGGACTTTAAACGGTAGATTTAGCTTTACTTGAGCACAGGACTGTTTGAGCAATGGGAGGGATTTTTTGCATTTGTACAAGAATAAAGACGCTAAAAACCTGGTGTATGTAATGCGTTCCATAGGTGTCTATGAGGCGTCTGTACAGGGCTTTGTTCTGGATTGTGTTTAAGCTCTGTGGGAGTCTCCTCAGATGCTTTGTGAACTCTGAGCTCAGGTGGGGATGATCGGCCAGCCTGTAGCTGCAAAAATAATCACCAACATTATGTTCATCTTTCTGCAACAGAGAAAGTTTGCAAACTTGTATTATTTATGAGAGCCTGTTAGTAAACACTTTGTCTTTTCTCAATTTTTCTAAAAATATTTTCGGATATTTTCTAGATCAGTTTAAAATAAAACTTTTATGCTTACAACATATCTAGCATATTGTTTTCTCAGTAAAAATGTATGTAGTGAATTATGCAATGCAGTTTAAAGTGCATTTTACTGGTTGTTGGTAATATTCTTGTAGTAGACAAAACACTGTCAGTGTCATTTCATAATGTCCTTGTTAGACCATGGATTTGGTCAAAACAGTCTGTTATGCCATGCCGATGGCATCCTGAAAACTTCAAAATGTGAAAGAATATTTAATAAGAAGCATATTTTTAAATTTCTGTCAATATGTCAAAATATCTCCCAAATAAATGACCTTACTTTGCAAATGCAGAAATCCAGAAATCTTTCAATATAATGTGACTAATTAACCTTAAATATCTACTAAAACTTTTATCACACTGTTTTTTTTATTCTGTACAATGACTACATGCTTGAACTTTTTAGGGACGATAGAGACACAGGACAAAAGTAAGTTTTTAGTCACAATGTCAAAGTAGTCTGCAAAAATAATAGTAACAATTTTTAAAACTGCCCATCTTCATAACTATTAGTTTTTCCAAGTTTTTTCTGAATGGTTGATCAGCACATTAGCCAATCAGAGCACGTTATGATGTTGCATCATGTATGGTAGTCTCAAATCAAAGACCAGGAACACAAAAGCATCCACACATCCAAAAGCCAGAACTGACAGTTTTCCAGTTTGAATGAAGTTTCGGGTGAGATAACGAATGTAATGTTTAGATATTCTGTCAGACATCTGAGTGTGGGACAAACGCCTCTCTGATCAGTTCCACGACCCACCAAACAGTTTGATATCATGACCAAATATAGGCACGCGGAAATAAGTCGAAGGGGAAGCAATACAACTTGTGGCTTTTCTGGTGTGAAACGTTGACATATAAAATGTGTCTCTGAAACTTTCCTAGTTCCTTTCCTCACTTCCTCTCCCCTTTTTGATTAGAATAGATGTAGGAACACAAAAACAAATGTGAAGCATCTTCCGTCTAAATTCTGAGATTTCAGTAGTTTCTTTTTATTTAAATTATTGGGAAAATGACCACACTGTGTTGTTAGTTATTTATTAGTTCCTTATGGATAGTGTTGAACTATTTTGATGCCAAATAATCTGAGAGCTACAACTTTTTAATTTTCCCACTTCATATTTGTGATCAATTTCATTCAATAGGACAGTAAGGAACATATTTTCTAATACATTTTACATAGATTATGCAAATTGTGAGACTGACTGATTTATTTATTAAGCTAAATTTTTATCTAAAAATATACATTAGTGCAACCTTCTGTCCATTCCAGGTATATTCTACTTATTTGGTGGATGTCTAAAAAAAAGGTTAGTAAATGAAATGACATTAATTCACTCTCTTTTACTAATTAGGAAGGTTTTGGAGAATGGGTGATTGTAGATGGGGCCAAATCTTGCATTGCCCCTGTAAAACTGACCCTGTCCCCTTTACTAAAGACATAATGGTTAATCCTTTACGTATGGTGGTCCTCACCAGCACAGAAACAGTAACTGATTGGTGTTTTAGACCAAATTTATTGTTTAACCTTAATAGTTTTACCTAAACAATGAATTAATAAAATTAACCTGGTTTACTAAATGACCTATATTTCCAGTTTTATAGAGCAAGTTTATTTTTTGTAAGAAACGATGCACTGCATTCAGCCAAAGTAAACCTATTTTTTTCCCCCTTACCTGTAATAGGAACAACTGATTTCGTGCATGGCAAACGTAGCTTTGTCCACACTGTGCTGCGAGCGCGCAAACTTGGCCAAATCTGAGCGGCTTCCTCCCAGCACCGCCTGGCCTATTTTCTCCAGGCTCAAACCCAAACCCCAGTTGTTGTTCACCAGCGAGTTGGAGCTACGCAGCAGGGAGTCCACAGAATGGTGGAGTGCACTAGACAGCTGCTTACTGCAGCGGCTGAAGAGACGCCAGTCCAACACTGCAGCTGGGAGCCTCTGAATCTAAGCAAAGTGGAAGGAGGAGAAACAAACGATCTGGTCAGACTGAGGAAAAAAACTAAATATTTCTGTTAAAGTGAAGTCATTTTGAGAGGAGTGGAAACAGAAGCTCAAGCTGCAGGTTTTACAGTTATCACCTGCCCGCCTTGGAACCTGTTTGGACACAGTGTGCAGGTACGGTTGTCATCCAGATGAGCTTTGACATTGATGACGTACGCCCCTGTGCGACGCAGCCGCACCACATCAAAACCCTCCCCAGCCAGGTTGTGGCCTGGGACAAAAGGAGCCTTCTCACACTCTGGTCCGGTGCCAATCCGACAACCCAGGACCCTGCAGACTTCCAAAGTAACGGACAGTCTCAACACAAACAGGACAAAGTTTCTCTGCTGGTTTCCTCCTGCTTGCATGGTTACCTAAACGTGACAGAACACAAAAAGGCCAAAGAGACACATATTTGCTGTTAAAAACACTCTCTGTTTCGCGGAGAGACTAAAAGAATTTGTTTGATTTTAGTTTTAGATGAGCTTTAAATCCCTGGTATCACAGGAGCCTGTTGTAAACTGCAATAATCCTGCCTCAGATGTTGCACAGAAATCATGCACACTCACCTCTTACTCACTTGATTTTCCTTTTTTGTTCCTACAGATATTTTTCTTCTTTAGCACCGGCGGTGACTTTCTCTTTGGAATAAACTACTACTTCGGGTTTTCTTCTTTAAGCTTTCCATTCATGGTACATTTGATTAAATGATGAAGTACACAGAAACTAAAATCCTGAAGAGGCAGCTGCAGAGAGCTGTGGCGTCTCTGGCAGGCTGTACTGAAAGCCTGCTGAGTTCAGTCTTCGCTCTGTCCTCTGCATATTGAAAAGGAGGGAGTTTCCAAATGTTTGAACTATCTGTCCAAAGCTCTCCCTTGCCCATCCTTATTTTCCTGCCTCTCTTTCCCTGCAGAATTGCACATTTCCTCTGCATGAGTAGGTTTGTTTTCATGCTCAAGACCCAGTTCTCTAAATCCCAGCCGACCGTGTGCAGTATGTGTGCTGGCATGTGGATATGTGGGGGAGGGAGAGATTTTGTGTTGTCACAGCAGAGGAGACCAACACCGATTTAAGGACTTTCCGGGAAATGTGTGTCTGAGTGTGTAGACGCTGCCATGTGTGTATACCGTAGGCTATGTAGTTTTGTGTCTGTTGGACTGGATATGTGTTTGTTTAAAACCTCTGAGCTGCCCTGGTTGTGCACAGCCACAGAGGAAGAAAAAAACCCAAGCACGTCTGTTTACGGATGTCAGTGGAATGTGTGTGGGTTTTCTTCTTGAAGTCAGGAAAGATGAGAACACATTTTACAAAAGGTTTTATACAAGAATAGAAACTCTCGAAAAGACCCATCAGCTAGTCGGTATGTTAATTTGAGCAGCAGCTTCCCGTCAGTCTAATGAACTGCTATATGCCGCCTCTATAATTGAAGACTTTTTAAAGTGATTCCTTTCATGTGTGATCAATGTCTGTTTGGTTTTGAGAGAGGAGTGTGTATGTTGCTTGCGAGGCTTAAGTTATGGGGTCTTACATACTTTTAAAGATATAAAAATAAACAGAAGCCTCACTGCTGAATGCTGTGTCTTATTCAAAGCAGTTTTGGAACACATATGCACATGTGAGACTGAAACAAATATGCGTTGAATCTGACCTTGAGCCAGAGTCAAATTATAGAATCGCTGCACTAGATGCTACTCCACACAGCCTTGAAGCTTTGAAAAATGTTCTGTACACAATAAAACAGAGCACCTCCTCTCTAAATCGGATCATTAGAGGAAGTGAGAGACTTTAAAATAAGCTTTAAACTTTAAACAAAGAATGCTTCTGATTAACTCAGATATTAACTCAATATGATCATTTACTCAGAAACAGCTTCTCCATTGGGTTTGATGTGGCCTCTCGCTGTTGTGGATGTTTTATAAAGATTTTATTTGATCAGATACTTAACATTCATGAGTACAACACGAAACACACACCCACTTTTACTAGTTTTATTTTTTTTTATTATCGCTGTCAAATAAGCAAGCATACATTAAGAGTGTAGTCGTCTTAATGGCAGCGTACAAAAATTAAGCTCTTAAGCTGGTTTACATATGGCACAAGTCAAAGTAGACCTGAGTTGTTTTAATAATTTTTATGAGCTTTTAACAAAGAAAAATCTAAATAAACACAGCATCAAATCATGCAAAGTATAATAATAATAATAATGATAAACAGTAAACGTGCTTTTTGACATGTGCAGCAGTGGTACTTTACATAGTTTGAAAGTCAGTTTTGGTTTCATCAGTGTGCGCTGCATATTGCAAAGCAAATACAGTTCCCTTTTAAGTTTCACAATTCATAATGCAAAGTTTTATGTGCAAAAAAATAATATTCTCTTTCACAAAATAAATCTTTAAATTCGTGAAAAATAGTTTTAAGAATCAAAGGAAAATCACCCAGTCTTAAGCCATTTTTACGCCTCCTCGTGGGTCGTCTCCTCGTGGGTCGTCTCCTCGTGGGTCGCCTCCTCGTGGGTCGTCTCCCTCTCTGGCTCGTCGGTTATTTTCTGATATCCTGACCTAAATTGAGAGTACCTCCTCCTTCTCCTAAGGATCACTGCCACTATGACCACAAAGGCTATCAAACCCATCACTCCAAACGCCACTCCTGCCTTTTCCCCACTTGACATCTGATTCATTTCTGGGTTGAACTTTCGAATAAGGTCTGGCATTTCCTCAGGTTTGACAAGTTTCCATAATTTAGTGGGCCCCACCCTGACCCAGCTCTTATCTCCTTCTGTCATCACCATAACTGTGTTGGTGGCTTGCATGCTCACAAGAGGAGATTTAGTAAAAGGAGGGAGGATGATTGGTTTCAGGTCACCCCCTGTAAACAGTCCAGACTGGACGCAGTAAAGAATTTCACAGCCATCGCTAACCGAGGCGAGGTGCTGGCTGAATTTGGGAGGGCATCTACGTTGGTTTTTAGCTAGTGGGTTACCAGACTCACAGCTGAAGAGACCTCCAAATGGGACGGAGTATCTGGAGCCAGTCTCATAGTCGTCACTCACGCAGATCATTTGGCCATCTGATAGAAACTTCACTGGAATGAAGTTTGCAGGGCAGCTTTTGGACTTGGTGATGGGGTTCTCAAAAGAGGTGCCGTAGATTCCTCCGAACAGATACCCTGAGTTTTCTGGAGCTTTTCCATTGACAGAGCACCAGTACGTATTTATTCGAGCAGAGCGAACACGATAGAGATTTTGACAGTTTTGCCGATGACAAGTCTTCAACCACAGGAATCCACATCTATGTTTAACATCATAGCAGTAATTTTCTGTGTAACCCTGCTGCCTCACTTCTGATCGTAATAAAGTTGGGGAGTAAGGTGAGCGACAGGAGTAACCACCTGTGGCAATATTTTTCTGGGCAAGGGTTTGGCAAAGTGGATCTGCATCATTGGTAAGTTTTGTACACTGTTGGTAGACTCCTCCAAAACTAAGGTTGGTGGCTGGACCATCACAGGAGTTGTCATCAACATTGGCCTGAAAGTTGAAGTTCTTGGAACCAATGTCCACACAACCAGGGCGCGTGTTGACCTTGTAGTAGCGATCTATTGCCATACTCACTGTACGAGCCACTTTGCCAACAGTAGGCTGTGGCAGATCAGGAAAAGTGTTTGAGTTTATAAAATACTGGATGGGAAACCCAGAACGATCAATAGCAACCAGATTATTCTTTGTATTTTCTTGCCACTTCTGCAAAGTGATTCCAGGATAAAAAGGTATGCTCCCATGGCTTTGGATGAGGGAGTACTGAATGTTGGACTGATATGTTTTAAGTAATGAGCTTTGTTGGCTGGACTGACTGCTGATATCAAATTTTAGTTTGTCAAAAAAGTTTAACCCGGCCTGAGCTTTAATAGTGGAGGTATCTGAAGAACTGTCTGACACATAGGAGGAACGGAGATAGTCTTCCTGCACCAGAGATGCCCCGGCATCTATACTGGTGATAACATGGGTTCCATAGTCCAGCACCATCTTCTCTGAAAGGCAGTCTGCGTTCCTTGTCTGATTGTTTACAATTGCATCAGCAATGTCTTTGACTTGCTGAACAAAGCGGGAATCCAATGTGAAGTCTGGGTAGGCTTTGACGGTGTAGATGAAGTTGCGAACCTGTTGATAGAATTAAATTATAGATTATATTCAGTTTCGTGATATGTAACTTTTCCTTTATATTTCTATAAATCTGTCCATGTGCCCATAATGAAAATAGGCAATCATATTTTTTACCCTCTAACAAACAATATCATTGTTTTTTCTACAACTGCCTGGTAGAGAACACCATGTTGTTTCCCTTTGAGGATTAACCTGCAACACCACTGGTTTAGATCACAACAGATTTGTGTTCAACACAGTCAACGTCTAGAGACTTACGTAACAGAGACCTTGTTGTAGAAAATTATATTTGCTGTTCATAAATGCTCCCAAATCAAATATGACAGATATTAAGGTAAAAAAAAAAAGCCAATATCTAGCTGTGCAAATCTGGTAGAAATCCCAAATAACTTGGTGACATCTGTGTTTCTCCAAAGTAGCAGATAAATATGAATTCCAGCTACATATTCAGAATTTGATTTGAAAAGATTAAATGTTTAAAAGAACGTTGATCATTCTCCTTTTCACTTCATAATCACGCACAGGCTTGCCTATTACGTATATTTTCAGGAATACAAAAATAAATGCACAGAAGATCAAGGGGTCTGAAAATTTTTGTACAGATGTCTGAATATTTATTTATTTATTTATTTATTTATTTACTTATTGTTTAGCACATGAATGTTTTTAGAGTGTTCAAAATACCTGTACTCTGGCTGTAGTCGAAGAATCCTTGACCTGATGTGATTTCATCCTTGTGTTCTCAGAGGAAAACTTGCCATTCAGAACTGAGTAAAATGATACATCAACATTTATGGAGTTAGATGTGGTGCTTTTCTGCTCCAGCCAGGAGCTGATTATCTCTGAGTTGGTCTCCACGCCTGTCTCCTTCTGAGGGATGACAAACACCTCATCTGGAATGAGGTAAAGCCCGTCCTCGGTGGTTTGGCACTGGAAGTAGCTGAGGTTCATCACTCGGCCCATGTCCAGGTTCCGGAGGTTGTCCCAGCCTCCTCCTGGCAGGACTTCCAGGGCTGTGAGGGAAATGTTGGTGGAGGCCCGGCATTGTCTGAGCCAGTTGGTCGGACGGCTCACGGGACCGGAGCAGCAGATTTGAAAAAAAGTAAGAGCAGCAAGAAGTGTCAGGGCAGACTTCATGATGCCTCTGACTGAAGTGAAATCTGAGGCAACTCTATTGAAGTTCATTAAGTTCCCGCCTCTAATGTGATGATCACATGACTAACAGGAAACACAGAAAGTTGGTTTGTTTTCACTTCCATTTCTCTTAGGTCTTTTTTAATTATTTTTACAGACTGAAAAATACAAGAAAACAAAAGTTTGATCAAATTTTAAAACAACAATAACAATCTTATGATTTAAGAATTGCTTATTTTGCAGACATTTGCAATTTCTCATTTATTTGTCCAGAACTTAAACAGCATTTAACCCATATTATAGAAAATTAACTAAAGAGGAAACAAATCTCAAGGCTAAATGAACACCACTAACTCCACTCCCCATCATTATTGTAAATGTTTAGCAGATTTACCAGCTGTACTGTCAACAAAGCAATGAAAAGATTACAGTTTCACTGTGAGAAAAGTTCTGCTCAGCGAAATACAACTATTATAAACAATTACTTGAAACTTTTGTCACTGATAAATTGATACAGAATGATATGAGGAAGAATCCTTAACTGATGTGGTCTTTCCTGTTTTCTGTGGTTCTCTAAAAAGAGTGATTTTTAAATAAACATAACAGAACAGAAGCAGAACAATCAACACAAGCGGAACAATCTGTTTAATATAATGGGTTTAACGTAAAAACAAATCTCCCTTGCAGGACAGACAGGTTGTTGTTC